AAAAAAGCTGGCAAGTGTGAGCTTGTAGCTGGGATTCACACTCAGCATTGTGCCAGGGCAACTGGGTTTTTTACATATTGATTAGTAATCAATGTATTTATGTATTAGTAATGTCAACTGCATAACGCTGGAGCACACGTGCAAGATTACTGAACAGTTTGAACATTAAGAACCTCTCCCAAGTGATCAATATTTATCACCTCTCCCACACACTCAAGCAGAAGCCTCAGAAAAGAAATAGGCCTCCTGCCAGGCTTCAAGGAGGGAGATTCCTGTACTGAGATTGCCACACCAAGTACCTCGGCAGTCAAGATACCGTATGTAGCTTCAGCTCTTCTGTACCACAGAGTAAGTGGCAGGACCCAGGCACCAAGGGCCACCTGTGAAGACCCACAGAAGAGAGTTTAAAGAGGTACCTTGAACAGAGCAAAGGGAAATTGTAGGGGTGTAGGACTTACTAGATCAGATCAGCTCATCGACTCTGCCAGCTGAGGAAGGACTTGTATATAGTACTCCATCAGTCCCTCCTGCTGCCACTTCTGTGAAAATATCCTATTGCCTAAGTTGCCTATTGCCCAATGCCGCACATGGAGCTGGAGTGGGGTGGAGTCCTGCTCCCCCTCCCTCCTTCCTTAACAATGAGATCAGCATAGGTACTGGCCGTCCCTGGATACGAGGGTGACAGCTGTCCAGGAAATAGGGAAGTCACTGGTGATTCTGCAGATGACTGAGGAAGCCTAGTGATCAGTTTACACCCCAAATACAAGACTGTGTTATCCCCACTGGCTGGCACAACTACGCGTTAATGTTCTTACAGTTTTCCACTCCTTTTTCAAAACCAGGAGGGTTTAGACAAGGATGATGCTGCCTTGTGCAGATGCTGGACTAGATGAGATCCTTTCCAGCTCTATTTTTCTATTCTATCCAGTTTTCATTAGCTAGCCAACATCCTGACGTCCCTCTGCAAAGTGATAGTATTAGAGCAATCAGAACACTGAAATATCAGCTTCCGATTTAACCTCAACATCAATCTGATGTAAACATGGCCAATTCACTGGGAGAATGCAAGGGTAAGCAACGCCCCATATGACTGGAAGCAGCTTCATATTTTATATAGCCCCTGCCCCAAAGTTTAAAATACTCTCTTCCTGCAAGCATGGCTCTAGGCATTTCAAACCAGTGGGCAGCATACCAGACTTGCTTCATGGATTTAGTGCAAGTCTTACACCTGGGAACTAGATCTTAATCACTGCCAATTTCAACAAGCTGAAGCCCATTTCCACATGCTCAAATATTTATTCAAGAGTAGGCAACACAGCTCAGCCTCCAGGCACTTCTCAGGGGACTCAATACATGTATCTGACCCAAACCAACTAAACCCACTTACCTGGGAGGACCAAAAGGAACTCATTCCCTATTCCCAAAGATGCTCCCCACAGCGCTGCATGTGAAATATTTTGGACAAGCAAGGTTCTTTGGGTAGATGTGATATCTTTTATTAGACCAACTGTGTAGTTGGAAAAAAGTTCTTTGCAAGCTTTCAGGCACAAGCACCTTTCTTCAGGCATTGGGAGACTGCTGCTGTTCTGAGATCTCCAAGGTAGAAAAGAAGCAGTCTGTGAAAAAGTAAATAGGTGGAAGTTAGGAAGAAAATGGGTAGAGAAGGAGGGGAGGGGAAGAAGTTGGGGAAATGTGTAAATGTTAAGTTCAGGCTACATTTATGGCTACCACCAACAATCCTGCAAATATTTTGGACTGAACTGCGGGGGCCGGGGGGGAGGGGGATGTGTAAATGGTAATTCAGGCTACACTTACGGGTACAACCAACAACCCTGCAAATATTTTGGACTGAACTTTGCCCCCTGCACACTGGTGTTTCCAGATGCATTTGTTAAGGGAGCTTGCTGCACAGGCCATCCTTCCCTTTAGCTCACATTACCTCATTCACTGCACAGTAGAGATGCAATCCATTTCTTATTTGATTAGCTACTGATTATAGAAAGGCAAACAGTAGCCCTGCAGCAGATGGAAAAAAACAGTCCTGCCCACAGGACAGGGCAGCTGGCTAGCCAGGCTTGTTCCACTGTGATCCCAGAAATGCCATGACATGACTCAGCTGCTTCAGCTGGAAGGGAATTCAGGCAACCTGATTTGTTTTCATTCTTTCTACAGGTTCTGCCAAGCAGGATGACAACAGCACTTTTGTTAAGGTCCCAGCAAGGCAGTTTGAAACTCTTAGGGCCGATCACACCCATTGTGTCTGTTGCTGGTGTTCCACTTTCTGAACAGTGGCTACGACAAAAAGTTACCTTTCCAAATTAACTGCCTCTTCCAGGTCCCACGGCCAAACATTTAACCTGCACTAGTCAAACAGCAAGTCAGCAAAAGTACTGCCAGTTAGTCCCCCAGTCTTGATAACTGGAAGAAAGTTCATCTGAGTTGCTCATCCATACTCAGGGAATAGATTTAATAGCAATACCACAGATTAGATCAGGTTTTCCCATGTACAAAGGTGGAAATCCAGCAGCAGAGTTGTACAAACCTGTTGGTCAGAAAGCTAATAAATAGTACCCAGAATTCTTACAGTAGCTGCAGGTTTCATCAGATCTCAAAGCATTACAAAGACACTTTACTCTCCCTAATATGGGTAGGAAAATCAAGGCAGGAAGGCTCAATGACTTGCCCCACTTCAAACAGAGGAGCAGTGGCAGAGCCAAATGAAGCACGCAGAACCCCAGCCGTGCTCCCCCACCAGTCCTGTGCTCTCAGCACTTACTAACACCCACACTTACTGAATGTAGTAAACTCCTAAGATTTGTAGGGCTGTTGTGAAATCTTGTGCTTGGGTCAATAACCACATACAGATATCAGACCATTCAAACAATCCAACCTAGTGGCAAGATGGTACACGTCATATGATAGAACTCGTAATCGATTAAGCATTCCACAAGCTAAAACTAGATCTGCAGGAACAGCAAACATACCTAATTTTCTGCTTCCTTACTCTGCTCCCACTTCCAAGGTGGAAGGCAGGGTTTCCACAGTCTATATCCCTGGACTGCATTCTTAACAACAATACTTACCTCTTATCTAGAGCATCTCATCCATATTGGGGTGGACGGATTGGACAATTGCCCCATCCGAAACATCAAAGCAAGTTCCAAAGGGAAGTGAAAGGATTGTCCCCATTTTACAAGTATGGTAATGGAGGTACCAAGGTGAAATATCTATTATGTCACATAGCAGCAAGGGCAGAATCACGTACAGATTCCCAATACCCAACTCAGACCTCTTCAGTAGCACACAGGACTGGACATTGCCTTGTTTTACCACTCAAAATGGCAAGCTCAACATATACTTGTTGATTTGGACTCCTCTTGGTTCTAATGAGAGGGAAGAGAGGGATGGATTTCTCACCAAATCAGCTGTCATTTTAAATGCCATGTCTAAAGCCATGTGCTTCAGCTTTCTGACACGTTCTCTCCTACACCTGACATGCTGGAGAGAGGAAGTTCTGTTTCTATGCAAATTTCTCATTTGAATCCAGTAGATCAAACTGTGTCCCCACTTAAATCCTGCACAGCTCCACGGACCCAAATTCCTTCCAAGCCTCGACCATCCTGCAGCTTTTTTTCTGCCCTCTTCATCAATAGCTTTCCTGACACTTGCTTCCCTCCTCTCCCATCCGTTTAAAAACACTGCAAAAAGCAGCCTAGCTATGACCATGATGTCACCCAACAGCCTTCTCTAGCCCCGTATTGCTTCTGCTTCTGACATGCTTATCTCAGAATTTCCGTGCTATACTGGATTTTGATTCTTATGCACAATTTTTAGAGGTATTTGGGGGTACTCACACGGAGCAGAGTGGGAGAGAGACTCCTTCTGAGCACATCTAGGTAGCAGAAAAGCCTCTGCCCAGATGTTTCTTCTCTAGGGTTAATCCAACAGTAGAAGGGCTGTGAGTTTGCAGGGACTACATGCACCAGAGCTGCAAGGAAAGTGTCTCTGGACATTTGTGTCAGGTATAAAACTAGGGCAACATGTAATTACAGGAAGGCATGGAAAAAAGATTGCTACAGTATGGAACACTTTCCCTGAGCCAGTGCAGGAACCCCCTGAGGTTTACTGGAGTCATGGGAAGATTATGTTCCAAGAAACTTCGAACTGCTAAAAATTATTCCTGGATTTGACTTGTACAGTAAGATTTAGTAGGAGCTCAGTGAACCGTAACATTTACTTGTCTGTTTTCCCCTCATAGCCTTACCTTGCTAGAAAAACTAGAAGAGATAAGCCTGCTTTAAATTAAACAACACAGATGGGTAGGTTGCTAGGGCTGGGTGTGCTGTTTGGAAGATGGTGATATCAGTGGATTGGTTGATTGTGAATGTGTTGTCAAGGCAGCTTGTTACAGCTCAAAGAAGAAAGAGAAGCAAGGCCAAGATTATTTGCCTGCTTCTGGATACATTCTGAAGGCCTTCAGCTCCCACTCATTTTCATGGGAAATGGAAATAATCAACTATAAGTTTATATAGTCTTCAAGTCAGAACTGATTGTATAGTTCTGCACCCTGGAAAATGAAGGGTAAATGTGATTCCTAGAGTTTAGGGATTCTTACAAGTCTGATGGTAGTAGGCATGATGACTATGTTCATACTTTACCTTTCCATCTAAAAATTGCAGTGTGTTTTGCAAAATAGGAATGAAGTTGGCCTAGGAAAGGTAGCAGGGAAAATGTTCACGAGCAAAGGAGCCTAAATCTCGCTGACTTTCCATGCGTCTTGCGTGCTTTGGGCAATATAGCCATTTTACGAACAAGGAAGCTGAAGTCAAGAGAGATTAAGTGAGTCACTCATGTCACGTAACAAATATGATGGACCCAAGAATAAGATGCAATCGTCCTGACTCCTAGCTCTGGACTTTTTCCTGCCCCAGGCATGGGACAGGATAATCATGACCCCAATCATATTTCCATGAACACAACAGTAGAGGCAAAAACAGACAGAGGTTCAAGCTGATTTATCTTTACTTCACAGTCTCAGCAAACAAATCTGCATTCAAAAGTTATTTCACATTAATATATTAATTGAACATTTTCAAAATAAATATTTTTTTCTTCAAAATAACCATTTCTTTACATCACTGCAATTCCAAAAACAATTCTAGAAAAGTCAGTGCGCAGAGAGCAGCAATATCATCAATCAACTAGAGATCAAACTAAAAAAAACAGGAGGTGAGCCTTTTTTTTCCACCCAGATTGCATGCAATGAGTTTCAGCAAGCTTCCCTAACACATGATCTTTCTGCACACTTACCGGGAAGGACTATGCCCCCCCTGTACCTTCCCACTTGAATAACTGTAAACCTGATTTATCCAAAAGTCTCTTTAAAATGCAAGTTTTCACGCAGCTGATTATCGATCAGTCCCGCAGAAGTCACAAGTGCCACAGTGACTGTTACCAAAAAATCAACAAGATGACATAATGGAACAAGCAAGCTTGCACCTCTCTCAGATCCCAGACGCCCACGTGAATGAGCAAGATTAGCGTTACTGATAAAGTACATATTTGGTCTGGGACCACTAACAAACGGTGCTAACCGTTACACAAGAAAATGAACAAGTCAAACAGACAGCAATTTCAGACATACTTTCAGGTCTCACGTTCTGCTAGAGTAGATTTTCCGCAGCTATTTATCCACCCGTACCTCTCAACTAAACAATTTAATCGCAGCCGTAAGACGGTTCACTGGCCACAAAGTGCAGCTTATATTACTGGAAAGGGGAAAAAATAAATAAGATGTATTAATGTTTAGAAAAAGGAATGTTCAGGATTTAGTGATTTAAGACCCATGTGTCCATCTAGAAGGAAAAAAGACAATGGAACACTCTGGTATCCTGTTATGCTACAAACCAATCTAATAAGAGGGCAGTATGTTGCTGCAAAAGGAGAAGCTTGTCTGCAAGAAGACAGGACACTTAAGTGAACTTTGTGGGGCTACAGAATGCTTCAGGTGCCCATGACGACAGAAATTTCCTAAGTACTCAAGAAAAAATTCAACAAGTGTCAATTTCCTTCCATTTCCCAGCCTCTTTCTGGAACCTCCCCATGTGATAATGGGTCAGATGAAAGCTAAGTGAGATACTCTAAAGTTCAGATTTGTCCAGGAAAGGCAAATAGTTTTCTTTCTGGATGATGGATCTGTTATTAAATGTCAGTTTGGAACAATCACTTAGTTCAAATAAAAGTAATTTCAAATATCAAAAGAAAAAGTGATGCAAGCGAAACTAATCACAGACAAAAACCAAACCTCCAATTCTAGTATCACTGAGCACAGGAAGGGCAGGACTGTTACACCAGGGATGAACAAATCCTCAAGGCTAAAAGTAATCCATAACATTTTAAATTTCTTTCCTTACTATGCACGTTATCTACCATTGAAGTTAATGGAAGTTATGTGTCTCAAAGGAAGGCTCTATTCCTTAAAGCTGTGCAACCCACCCCAAAATTCAGCCAAAGTGGGAAACAAGGAAGCAATGGATTGTGGAGAAGTTCCTTTTCAGCTTATTGGTTTTTCTTGTCTTCTGGTGGGAAATAGGGAGGTGGTGGTGGTTGATCCTAAAAGAGAAGGCGGGAAATGTAACAATCATGGCTAACATCAATGAATTCATACAAATCCTGCTTCTGCCAAAAGGAAGAGCTATCAACACAATCAATATTGCTGCCTTTAAACCTGTACTTCCCATACGTGATTGTTGTCCAGGTTACAAATATTAAAGCTGGTTTCCGATTAAATTTACCCCAAGAGATTAATTCCTTATAGAATCAAAGAATCATAGAAAATTAGGGTTGGAAGGGACCTCAGGAGGTCATCCAGTCCAACCCCTTGATCAAAGCAGGATCATTCTCTACTAGATCATCCCAGCCAGGGTGTCATCGAGCCTGGCCTTAAAAATCTCCAAGGATGGAGATTCCACCACCTCTCTAGGTAACCCGTTCCAGTGCTTCACCACCCTCCTAGTAGGAAAGTTTTTCCTAATATCCAACCTCAACTTCCCTTGCTGCAATTTGAGACCATTGCTCCTTATTCTGTCATCTGCCACCCCTGAGAACAGTCTAATTCTACCCTCTCTGGAACTGCCTTTCAGGGAACTGAAGGCTGCTATCAAATCTCCTCTCAGTCTTCTCTTCTGCAGACTAAATAAGCCCAGTTTCCTCAGCCTCTCCATATAAGTCATGTGCTCCGGCCTCTTAACTATTTTTGTTGTCCACTGGACTCTCTTCAACTTGTTCACATCCTTTCTGTAGTGGGGGGCCCAAAACTGGACACAATATTCCAGATGCCAAATAGAGGGGAGCAATTACTTCCCTCAGTCTGCGGGTGCTGGTAACGCTCCTACTAATGCAGCCCAGTATTCTGTTAGCCTTCTTGGAAACAAGGGCACACAGTTAACTCACATCCAGTTTATTGTCTACTCTAACCTCCAGGTCCTTTTCTGCAGAGCTGCTGCTTAGCCAGTTGGTCCCAAGCCTGTAATGCTGCAAATAACTTCACAACGACTCTTGATTTCTCTTAAACGTGCAACATTCTCACCCTCACAGAACAGCATGCAGTTGTTTATTACACATAGGACAATGTGTGAAACTTACCGTGGGCATGTAGACATTGTGAGGGTTGACTGGACTGTAATAAGCACTGGCAGCAGCTTCTGCAGCCTTTGCTTCAGCTGTTGTAAACAAACAGATCAAAGAGTTAAGTGAGGCTGGAGGGAGTCTTCTTTTATAACCAAATACACCCTGCCGTGTTTTCTCCCTCAAGTACTAGAACAGCTTCTGTTTCTGTGCAGAGGGGCAATGATAACAAAAATGTTTCTGGATAGTGCAATCCCTCCCAAAGGATAAATGTCACCATATTACAGCCCAATTAAACAAAGTAGATTAAGAGCTCTTGAAGGACTCTGCACTGAAAAAGCCATGCTATCCTGGTATATGAGCTTAGAGGTGCTACCTGGGATGATTTCGCAACCAAGGAATAAATGCCACCAGTTGCTTCCGAAGAGCACTGGAACACAGGCACCACTCACAGGAAGTGGCCAAAGACACACTTTTAAATAGAAAAACAAAAGTTTAGAGAAGCTGTGGGCACTTGCTCCTTGGAAGAAATTAATCCTCAAGGGCAGCCTGTTGCTTTTTATGATGCTGAAATCTTGGATTCACTTGACAGTCCTTAGCAGATCAGTGGCAGATTGAGATTCAAGAGATGTGCTAGATCCCGACTCCTAGCATACTGCTTTGACAAAATCCAGTAGGCAGCAGATTCTCATGCAACAGCTTCTAAAAAAGTGTTCCACAGGATTCTGATTAACTGTACTTAACTTGAAAATAGGAGTGAGAATTTCATGCCTGCCTCACACTCATTTTTCTTCTATATCTTGCACTCAGTATGATTTATTAAAGGAAATGTCAGCAGGTCAGATTCAAAGAGCATATCCATTATGCCCATGCTAACTAAACTTAGCTTTCACGTTGATTTTTCTCCTTGTATGACAACCATCTCTCTAGGAAAACAAAGCTGCATTCTTTTCTACTTCATATCTCATAAACAGAATTGATTCAACCATACAATTTGTTGTTTCTATCCAAGCTGCATTGATCTCAGATTGGCTTTCAAATTAAGTTGAATTTGTACGGCTGGCAGTTATGGAAAAAACCTCACAATGTTTAACTTGGGAGCAGGTTGGCTATAGAAATCACCATAAATAAATCTGAAACCCTCAACAATGCCAATTTTATTGTTGCTTCTCAGAGGAGACACCCACTCAAAAAATTTTTGCTCCTACTCATTGCTTCCAATATACTTTTCCTCGATCACATCACTGTCTAACAGAATGTATATCTACCTTCACCTGGGAATATTATTACTATTAGAAAGAGGTTCCACTTTAACTCCATGGACACATTTCTTACCTGCGGGAGTGGAAGGAAGGTCTGGACCACCGACTGGAGGTTCCATGGGCCCAGGATACGGAGGTGGTGGAGGCTGCATATAACCCATGGCTCCATCCATCATGGGAGGACCAGGATAAAATTCTGCTAAAAAACAGAATGAAGAATCAAAATACTCTAAGAGGGAGTCTCTTCGCTTCACTCGTAATATAGAGCCAAAACAAGTCACGGTATGATTAAATAAGCACCTAAGTGACATGAGGCGCTGAACCAAATTGGAGAACAATCCAGGTGGGTTAGAATACAGGGAGAATATGGCGAAGGGGATTTAACTGTAGGAGTCTATTACAGACCTCCTAACCAGGAGGAAGAGCTTGACCATAAGTTCACTTGGGAACTGGCAGAGGCTGCATGCTCTCAGTGCATGGTCATCATAGGCAACTTCAACCACCCTGACATCTCACGGGAAGAGCATTCAGCTAAATATGATTGATCACAAAGCTTCCTCACTTGCATTGACAAGCTCTATTTGACTCAAGAAGTCTATGGGCTGACAGAAGGTAAGGTGCTGCTGGATCTGGTACTGGCCAAAGGGGATGATCTAGTCAGCAACCTGAGGATCAAAGGGAAGCTTAGTGACAGTGATCACAAGTTGATCGCTTTCTCTATTCATCGCCTAGCTGGCAAATTAGTCAGCAATGCAGAAAACCTTGACTTCAGGAAAGCTGACTTTCACAAGCTCAGGAGGTTGGTTGTTGAGGCCCTGAGAGACCACGATCTGACAGGGAAGGGAGTCCACAATGAGTGGTCGCTCCTTAAGGACATGATCCTGAAAGCACAAGGGAAGTCCATTCCAGTCTGTAGGAAAGGTAGCAAAAGGGCTGGGAGACACCCTTGGCTCAACAGGGAACTCATGTACCTCTTGAATCTGAAAAGATAAGCTTATAAAGGGATGGAAGTCAGGAACTACCACTAAGGAGGATTATGCAACACTGGCCCACACCTGTAGAAAGCGGACCAGAAAAGCCTAGGCTGAAACTGAACTCAAGCTGGCTACAGGAATCAAGGACAATAAAAAGTCCTTCAAATACGTGGGAAGTCGAAAAAAAAATCAAGGGCAACATAAGACCCTTGCTAAACTAAATGGGGCAGCTGACATCTGACACCCAGGACAAAGCTAATCTCTCCTCAACAATTACTTTGTGTCAGTTTTCCACCAGCCCAAGGGGATCAACCCGCCTGACAGGACACGGGACTACCAGGGCAAGGGCCATCATATGCCTATAACTGGCAAAGATCTTGCAACGGAACAGCCTGAGAAGCTGCGCATCCACAAGTCAGCTGGCCCAGATGGAATGCACCCAAGAGTGCTAAAAGAGTTGGCTGATATCATAGCACGAGCAATGGTGAGGATATTTGAGAACTCGTGGCACTCAGGAGAGGTTCCTGAAGGTTGGAAGAGGGCCAATGTGGTGCCTATCTTCAAGAAAGGAAGGAAGATCCAGGGAACTACAGGCCTCAATCCCTGGAAAGATCTTGGAAAAAATCATCAAAGAAACCACCAACAACAGACTAACGGAAGGCAACGCTCTGAGAGATAGCCCACATGGCTTTGTTACACATAGGTCTTGCCTGACCAACCTCATTTTCTTTTATGACCAAGTGACACATCACCTGAACAAAGCAGAAGAGGTTGGTGTCATACATTTAGAGTTCAAAAGCCTTTAACTTGGTTTCCCATGATGTCCCCGTGGTAAAACTGGGGAACTGTGGCCTTGACAAACTTACAGTCTGATGGCTTGGGAACCAGCTCTGTGGTTGGACCCAGACAGTGACAGTTGATGGAATCGAGTCAACATGTCGCATGGTAACCAGTGGTGTCCACCAGGGCTCAGTAGTCGGACCAATACTCTTTAATATATTCATAAATGGTCTGGATTTGGGTGTCAGAAGCGGACTGGCTAAGTTCGCAGATGACGCCAAATTATGGGTAAGTGTGGTCATGCTAGATGATAGGCTAGCAATTCAGGCTGACCTGGACAGGCTCACAAGGTGGATGGATTCAACATGGAGAAATGCAAGGTGCTCCACCTCAGGAGAAAAACCCGTATCACACTCATAGGCTTGGCAGTGCTACACTCACTAGCACCACAACCAAATAGACTTGGGGGTCATGATTGACCACAACGTGAACATGCGATGCTGCAGCCAGCAAAGCAAATAAAACTCTGGCTTGCATCTCCCAATGTATCTCAAGCAAGACCCAAAAAATCATCCTCCCACTGTACTCGGCCTTGATAAGGCTGCAGCTGGAGAACTGCATCCAATTCTGGGCTCCACACTTTAGAAAGGATGTAGAAAGGCTTGAGAGAGTCAAGAAGACAGCCATGCACATGATTACAAGTCAAGAGAAGAGGCCTTATAAGGAGAGGCTGAGAGGCATGGGACTCTTCAGCCTAGAGAAGTGAAGGCTTAGGAGCGACTTGGTGGCAGCCTGTAAGTATATAAGGGGTGTGCATCAAGAACTGGGAGAATGTCTGCTCACCAGGGCACCCCAAGGGAAGACAAGGTCCAACTGCTGCAAACTGCTGGAAGACTACTTTAGACTGGACATAAGGAAAAACTCCTTTACCATCCAAGTCTCCAGAGTCCGGGATAGACTCCCCTCAGAAGTGGTACAATCACTTACTCTGGATACCTTTAAGATACTCTTGGATGCTTATCTTGCTGGGGTGATCTGACCCCCCACTGACTTCCTGCCCCTTGGGCAAGGGGCTGGACCCGATGATCTCGCAAGGTCACTTCCAGCCCTAATGTCTATGAAAACTGAGATAGTATCTTGAAACAAGCATCCCTTGTCTCTCTTCCCTCAGATGTTTTTAAAGCTTATAGACTTAAATTTGCAGACTCACCTGGAGGTGGTGGTGGATAGGGGTAACCTGCCAGAGGGGGAGGGAAAGTCCCATTGGCTGCAGGTGGTGCAAAGGCATAGGCTCCATTGGGCATATAGGAATAACCATATGCTCCATTAGGAACTTCACCCCTGGAAGCTATAAAGAGAAAACCCAAGTCAATTCAGCCAGGTCTACAAGAGTGCATCAAGGACAAGACAGCCAGAGGCTCTTCACAACAGGAAGTAAAACTCAGAGACTAGTGGTGGAGGCCAAGTATCACTGTAGCTGCCAGTATGAGGCCAACTGTACAACCAGGTCCAAAAACAGACTAGGACAAATGTATGGAGGACAGGTCCATTAATAGCAATTAAATGAAAGAGTCAAGGGGGTATCCTCTGACATCCCTAAATCGATGATGGCTGATGCCAGATAGAGTATGATGCGACAGATTAGATTAGACATGCCCTATATACATGCTTTTCCTCTAAATCATCTTATACTGCCACTGTCAGAGACAGGCTCCTGGGCCAGATGGACCATTAATCTGACCCAGTATGGCACTTCTTACATTCTTTTAAAGTAAAGCAAGTGAATTCCCAGAACTGGCTCAAATTAAAAATACATTTTAACCCACTGGGCTACATTTTATTCTAAGAGGACAAACACATCAACAGAAAGCCATTATCCCTCTACCCTGTTGTACAACCAGCTGATTTAGCTTTCTTTTTCTTTGTTAAAGACTTCAGTACCTTGAGCTGCAACCTGCAGCATCCGTTGTCCAAATTCAATAGCACCCCCCGCTGAAAAGGTCATTTTGAACGTCACAGATCCTTCCCAGCCACCTGCAGAGGAAGAGAGGATTCAGAAGGAAGAAGAAAATCCTTTTCAATGTGTTTTTAGACTTCTATGGCAAATACTGTGGTGTATCTAAAGATCCCTCCTAGATTGTACTTTGCAAGACTTATATCTTAGAGGCCTATGGAAAAGCGGTAAAAGTGCTGTAATTATGTCTTGGCTGAAGTCATGTTGGCCTGCTGGTACGTTTCAAATTAAGAGATGCCTCAAATGTTGAAGCATCAATGAGGGAGAGACAAGGAAAGTTTCTAAAAAGCTCCAGTTCGTTTGTCATACCTGCCACCCTGTAGACCAAGTTATCAGGCACATTAGATTTGCTCCATCTTCGTAAAGGCTTAGTGCACAGGACAGGGAATTTGTTAATGCAGGCTGGTAAAAAGCCTTCACAGCTATACTCAAGAGTCAGCTGTAATTTAAATTTGGAAATTCAAATACCCAATAAAACAAAGAGCATAAATGGCACGAGTTCTCATATGAGCAACATTAATCCACTACAAAGTTCAAGGAAGATGGCCTAGGTTAGTTTAATAAAAATCAGTGACATCTCACTTTCAGACTGAACAGGAAAGCTAGAACAGCCAAGAGTCCTAACAATGCATCACAGCAGTGTCAGTGTCAAGCCAGACGAAGCTACAAAGATTAAACATCACGAACAAAACCAGACACACATGTTAAATAATGACGCAGACCTCTTCTAGGGAAGATGCACACAGAATGAAGGAAATCCATTTGCTTTTCATATGGTTTCTACTTTACTTTCACTGTATGTGCTTCCTCACAGCCTAATTTGTCCTATTTGATTCCACACAGAAGCTGTGATACTGACTCCAGGATAATAAACTATAGTATCATAAGCACTGGATCATGATTTCAGTGCAGAGGTAAACAGGAGAAATTGAGCTGAGGATGAGAAAATTTATTAAGTGACAACGTTAGTAACAAGGAAGCAACACCAAAAATCCTGAGCAAGTAAAATCCTTGTTGTACAAGTCTTTTTCCTCTTCACTCCATATTTGACCCAGTACGGAATCTCCTTTTAAATGAGCTTCTCTTGTTTCAAAACAGTCCAGTCTCTTTCAACCCTGACACAAAATAATTTATTCCCTTTTCTTTAAAACTAACATGATTTAAAATTGCTTTTATGGCTAATATTTCATGGCAACAACATGACTTTCCCTCAACTTGATTGATTATGCATGACTATTTTCTGTATGTAATCATATCTGAAAGGGAACAGACTCAGAAAAGAAATGGATGCATTCAGCATAAAGAGATCTGGAAAGGGATCGAATAGGTTGTTATCTCAACTGGCCATAGCTAATTGATGTCCTTAGAATGGTGTTGGCATGGGTTTCTCTCATCCAGAAGCCACTTTAGGATGTTTAATCAATGAGATCAGGCAGCTGATTGAATTTAATGTTCTGAATAGAGGGTAGGAATGAGATCAGATGCTTTACCAAACCACTTCATTGTAAGCAGGGGAGGGGTGAAACTTTTTTAGCTATTATTTTCAAAGAAAGCAGCATGGTTTTACAGTTCTGTATAACAAATTTTTGAGTGTCACTCAGTTTGGATCAAACCCAATACTCACTTCCTTGTGAACCTGATACGCTTCACATCTTAAACTCTACTATGAATCCATATAATACATACCTCCTGTTTCTGCTTTCACTGTACCCTTAATGTAATTTGCTCCAAAGACAGGCTGCTTAATCTCACAATCCTTCATTAAATAAAAGGGCATCATGAAGGACTGCATGGGGTCCTTTCCCTTTGACACAAAGATAACCTGCAAGGCAAAGGAGCAAGTCTGTGACAAGGCAGCTTTAGAATGGTTAGGAAACACAGAGCCAAGCTGCTGTCAGAGGATGGAGTTCAACATGCTGAAACTGCTTCCCACGTTGTAGCTTCTAATCAGTTCTGCAAGTCACGAGACCTGCAGCGACAGGGGTAAACAGACACTATCAGGCAAACACTGCAAAGGACCTTCTAGAAACAGACCCTGAAAAGGATTACTGGGCTGCTCCCTGCTCTCCCCATAGCATGCCTTTATAGTTTAACTGATGCTTTAAGCAACTAACTGCACGTCTAATTCAATTCCTAAGACTATCTGGCAGGCTACTGGCCATGTTGTTCTGATTATAAATGTCATAGTTTCACAGTTGTCTGGGGATAGAAGGACCTTACAGATCATCAAGTCCAGCCACCCCTGCAAGGCAGTATTGGGCAGGAAAGACTGCTGGCATCAGATGACCCCAGCAAGGTGGGCATCAAGATGCTTTTGGAAGATCACCAGGGTGGGTGACTGTACCACCTCTGGGGAAGAGTCTTTTCCAAACCCTCAGCACTTGGCTTGTAAAGAAGTTTTTTCTTATATCTGGTCTGAAGCAATCTTCAGTCAGCTTGTGCCCATTATTTCTAGTCCTTCCATGGGGGACCTTGGTGAACAGATGCTCCCCCAGGCCCTGATGTATGCCTCTGATATATTTATAGGCTGACACCAAGTCCCCTCCGAGTCTTCTCTTCTCCAAACTGAAAAGTCCCAAGTCTTTCATTGATCCAGCACACAGGGTGACTCCATATTTTCAGGTTCAACTTTAGGAAAAACAGTTTGTTCCCTGAACTATAAATCAATAACTATATTTGAAGATACTGAACTGCTATGGCCCTTACAAAACCCCACAGGAGAAGCAAGTAACCAAGGAAAGCAGCCAGGGGGCTATATACACTAAAAAGACAAGAATAAAAAAACTGTACTAAAACTTGACTTCATATTTTTGTTGCAAAATACAGTATGTACAAAAATCAAGATTGGACAGGGCTTAATTATAGGCCAACCCCACATATAAGTAGGGCATGATTTTTTATGGTTTGCCTGGAGGAAACAAAAGGCAGACTTCATTAGAATGATTCACTAGTTGCTTCTAGAAACTAGTACATTTTCTCACCTTGGCAAATCAGACAAAATTTACAATGCATTTGTTATGCTCCTGAGTCAAAGGATCATCCTAACTTTGAGGGCCACTAAGTGAACCACATTTTCCAGAATCAGTAAAGTTTCTATGAAACTTTCATTATAAAGACTTCAACTTAACTACGCAAAATTACTTGGCTACTTACTCGATATGGAGTCAAGAAGACACTTCCTTTCTTGGTCCCTTTGAAGGCATCCAGCATAGATTCTATATCACTGAAAGCAATTTCTATGTGGTCATAGGTCATCAAAATGCTAGAGATAAGCCAAGAAAAGAAGAGGCCCATTATTAGGACTCAATTTGTAAGAGTAGGCTGTATGTGATTTAGGGACCTATGGGAAATGAGTCAATAACCTCAATCTAGGGTTAAGTAGAGGACCTCTGTTCTCACAAGAGATAAAATTGCAACTGGTTTCTTTTTAGGCAGTCTCTGACTTCATCATTGTAGTGCTCTTGTATTCTATTTATCATTTTGACTCAGAAAGTGGCATATTTAAGTAAGTGCTACTCATACAGTTCTATTAATATGAAGGTGCCTTACACAGGTACAAGAGTAGGCTGCAGTGATTTAACTAGGTTTGCATGGAAACCACATTCCAACTGAAACCATTGAATCAGTACAGAACCTATATGGGGCGCTGGCCTCAGTGGTGATAAGCCATGAAGGATTGTTGCCCTGACGCAGGGAATCATCATGTCAGAGTTCATGGTGGAGAGGTGTTCTGCAGTTATCTGGAACATAAGTTTTCCACAGCACTGAAAGCCCACCTCTTTAGCAGGCCTGCCACAAATTAACCCTGAATCCCAAGTACCACTCGGAGTCTCTTCCCTGCCAGATCCTTCTGCCCCTCGCCCTGTGCTCCCAGTCTGATCTGCTGCTCTGCTTTCTGCTTCCCACACTGTATTCCCAGTCTGATTTCCTGCTTCACTTTCTGCTCCCCGCCCTGTACTCCCAGTCGGATCTGCTGCTCTGCTTCCTGCCCAAGCTCCCCATCTGATCTGCTGCTTTGCTTTTTGCTCCCTGCCCTTTTCTGCCACTGTCCTGCCTCCCCCATCCCTGCTCTGCTGTGTGTCACGTGCAGACGTTGCCTGTGCCCCAGGCTGGCCATCCATGTTCATCCACCTTCTACAGAGGGAGAACTTCCGTCTCCAGGGATAAAGATCAGCACCCGTTTTTCTAGGGACAGACCTCGCCAACAGGTCATTTCTTAAATAGGCAGAAGAAAAGTGGAAGTCCCTGCAGGGGGGCAGCAAAGAGGATGCAGCGGGACTGTTCTCAGCTGTGGCAGATGACAGAACAAGGAGCAACAGTCCCCAATCGCAACAAAGGACTTTTTGGTTGGATGTTAGGAAAAACTCTCCCATGAGGAGAGCAGTAAAGTGCTGGGTCAGGCTACCCTGGGAGGTGGTGGAAGCTCCATCCCTGAAGGTTTTTAATCCCCGGCTGGACAAAGCCTCGACTGGGATTGGACTGTTGGAGCTGGTCATGCTCTGAGCTAGATCAGGATTTCTCAACCCATGGGGCGCAAGAATCTATAAAAGGGTCACTAACAAACCAGAAAAACAGGTTCAACCTTTAAAAGAGGGAACCATGGGTTGCCCCTGCAAGCGGGCGCAGCTCTATGCTGCAAGGGGCGGCTCGGGGGAGCGGGAGGAGGGCGATCAGGCCGGGGCTGCCACGCATGTGGCAGCGTGCACAAAACCAGCCGTGGCAGGTGCCAGAGCAAGGCGCAATGGGCTCGCGCTGCAGCCAGGAAGACTGAGGACGCGCGCTCAGGGGGCCGCAGGGCCGGGGCGGTAAGGGTTAAACCCCCAGGGAGGGGGCGGGGCGCTCCTGGCCCGCGAGGAGCGCCCCGCCCACATGACCCGAGCCCCGCCCCCTAGGTAACGGCCGCTGGGGACGGGGGGCAGGTCGCCCTCGACTGGGACAGGGGGGGCGTTCACCTCTCGCTGTTGTTGATGATGACGCCGCCACCCTCCGAGTGGTTCTTGTTGAGCGCCATAGCTGCCCGCCTCGCGCTCCGCCTCAGGAGGGAAGGGTCCACTGAGCCTGCGCGGCGCGGCGTGATCACGTGAGCCGGCGCGGCCCTGGGGCATGCTGGGAGATGCAGGCGCCGGAGCTGCCTCCAAGGGGCGGGGCCTGCTGTTCCCGCCAGAAGGCGGGCGCTGTCCCGGGCCCTGGGCCGCTGTGGGCTCAGTTTCCCCCTGCTTTGGGATGCACCCTACCCTGACCCGGACCCAACAGGGTGGGAAGCAGATGGGAAGTGAGGGGCGTAGGACTGGCCAGGACCAACAAGATGCACCATAAGAGAGTAGGTCAATAGAGTGCAGGCCCTGCTCAAGACAGGACCATCCCTAACTAAACCAGCCAAGCCACCTGTAGGTCCAACCCATCCTCAAAAATGTCCAGGGATGGAGATGCTGCGACTTCTCTAGGCAGCCTGTTGCAATGCTTGACCACCCTCTCAGTCAGGAAGTTCCTCCTCATCTTCCCCCCTACGTTTCCCCTGCTGCAGCTTGCGGCCGTTGCTCCTAGTCCCTGTCCCCTGTAGCCAGAGACAAGCCCAAAGGTGGATCTAGAATTTAGAAAAGTGAGTGAACATAGTGAGGTGCATCATCTCCTAAAACAACACACATTTTTCTCCAGTTAAAAAAGCTAGAAGCTTTACTAACCTGCTAGGGGCCTAGGCTTGTGCTATTCTGCTTAAGATTGAAACAAAACCAAGTATAACTTCATTGGGCTGAATTAAAAAACAATCTGCGGGACTGAAATAGGAGTCTCATGACCAGGAGTAGCAAACAGACCGCAGAAATACAGAAGAAAGGCAAGCTCGATGGGTGGAACATCAAGACCGTTAAAAAGAAGAGCGGGTCATGACCAGCAGCAAAATGAAGGCATCAGGTAGATTATGATGAGCCATGATGAAATCAAGTGACTCCCTCAGCATTGCCTGACTAGAAATGCTGCTGCCACTGCCAGGCTATTAGTTTTAAACTTGAATGGAGCAGGAATCAAAGAGGGTACAAGTGCACACCCCCCCCCCATCCATCCCTGGAAAAGCCCATCTCCATGAGAGTGGGAGAACCTCACCCCCACTTAAAGTTAGGCCATAAGCATGACCTTGTTTTGACCCATTTCATGGTTTTTCCCATGACAAATGCAACACCGGTGTGTAGCCAAGTAGCCTAAACCAATGCTTGACCATCCTAGCCAGGATGTTCCTCCTCTTCTCCAACCTACATTTCCCCTACTGCAGTTTGAAGCCATTGCTCTTAGTCCTGTGCCTCACAGATGTGAAGTAGGAATTAACAGTGTCTAAATCAGCGCTTCCCAAACTTCTCAGCATGACCCCATTTATGGCCCCATTTCCTCAATGTGGCCCCCCACCCGCGACCCCATCTGCTGATGTTGTTACCCCATTTGGGGTTGTAACCCATAGTTTGGGAATTGCTGGTCTAAACCATTCTGACCCGCTGTGGAAATTCTTTGTGCCAGGAGAATTGTCGGGTGTTTTTTTTTTTCCTGTAGTCAAAAAAGGAGTGGAAGTGAAAAGCTGGCATATTCCGAGTCTAAAAAAGGTGGAGAACTGCTGGCCTCCTTAGGGAGACTTGGATTGGATGTGATTTGCAGGGCTTGTTCTGTTTTCTGTTCGTCTCCCAGGCCACAACTGAGAGCAGTGGAAGGACAGATGCAATTGTATGAGCCAAATTTATTTTTAAATGTCACTTTCCACATTTGTGAGAAGAAAGGATTTTTTGTAGGTGTTTTCTTTTATTGGACCAACTGTATGGCTGGGATAAAGTTAGACAAGCTTTTGAATGCAAGGCATTCTTCATCAGGTCTCGGGAGAAAAGCAAGCAGGATTGTTAAGAACCGTTAGCAGAGCTGTGAAGTTGGAGGGTGCAGGGAGACACTTCCAGGGAGGGGTGGTGATAGACAAATAGCAGATTTCTACATTTCTTTCTGAGCTTCTGCACCAGTGAACCTTGAGGAAGTGAAGTGCAAACCATTTTTTTGAACAAGATGTCCCCCACACTGTGAATTCTCCACTGGATTTCATTCGGAACAATTTTTGGCTCTTAAAATATCATTAAAAAGAGAACTCTTACTGAGCTGTAACTACAGTTCAGGTTCCACCACCCTTTTCTAAACCCTTTGATTTGTATTTTCTGTACTGTAACTGTGGGGATAATCCAGTTTTGTTCTCATCGTTCCTGGGGGAAATCTTGAGTGTGTTTAGAACTACTATTTACCTTCTGATTGTATTGGATCCTGACCATATATAAAAAAAGTACTTGAAGTCACGTGAAGTACCCTTTGAATTGAATTGGGAAGAAATGTTTCATTTAAACATAGCATTCTTCCATGGTTCCTGTCTTAAAATGATTTGTGTTGTTGCTGGGGGGCTGGTGGAACAGCTGCATTTGATGGATGGGTGTTTAGATTTGTAAAGTGCTTTGATATTACATGAATTGCAAGTTATTTTTGAAACAATGTAATTTTGTTGTGGTTTACACCTCATCTATTTTTTGTTCTGAAGAAATTTCCTGGCTGGCACAGAAGCAGCTAAAAACCGCTCATTTAACCTGGATATGATCCCAGGAAAAGACCTTACAAGCGAGAGCTGTTTATATATCACATTGCAATGCTACTACTGATTTTGGTACAATTGGTCAGGTCTACCAAGAAGCCAAAGGCTGACATGAAATGGAGGCAAAACTATTTTTTATTCATAGTGGGTGGCCAAGACAGAACTGAGAAGCTAGAATGAGACAGTTGAAATAGCAGTTGTTTGCACTGTGGATAAATGGAATTTGGTCCCATCTGCTGCAAGTGTGTTTGCTGATAATCCTCATCAGTTTTTATTTAAACAAATAAAATATGTGATTCAACATCTGGTCCTTGTTTAATGGCAAGTATAGTAAACTCAGCACAAAAAGAAACGTTACTAACAGTTCTGGTCTTGCAAGATTAGGCCTTATCTGTTCATTGTGTCTAACGAAGCTAAAGAAACTGGAAGAACAAGGCATCTTCTAAACCAGAGGTTCTCAACCTTTTTCTTCTTGAGACCCCCCCACCAGCATGCTATAAAATCTCCATGGCCCACCTGTGCCACAACTGCCCAGCTCCCCAGCCCTGCCCGCATGGCACCTAATGCAGCAAGTGGGGAGCCCCGGGGTCACATTCACCTGCACAGAGCCTCACCTGCCTGTCCACAGCACCGCCCGCATGATGGAGGCTGTGGGGCTGCGTAGGGCAACCCCCCTCTTTCCCCCCCTCATGACTTGCTTCAGCCCCACAAGGGCCAAGGCAGCTCCTCCTTGTGCCATGCTGGGCTGGGTCAACCCCCTGAAATCTGCTCCTGCCCCCCAGTTGAGAACCACTGTTGTAAACAGGATTCATTTTCTTTGCCTTTATGACAACCAAGGACAGGGTGGTGATGAAGGTGTTCGGACAGTCTGGTGATGAACACTGTATACTACCTAGGCAGTCAAGAGGTTTAAAAGGTGGGCTGTCTGATCATTTTTAAAAGGTGGACCATTTTTAAAAGGTGGACTGTCTGATAATTTGGATAAAAGTTTTGCCAAGGCTAATGGTAATAGAAATATTCTCCGGACAGTCTTCACTTTAGTTAAAACACAGTTTATTGAATTTAAGCTTTCTCCTGCAGGGCTTATAAAACTCCATGTCACTACAGCATCTCAACATCTGAAAACCAGAAAGTGCAGTCAACTAGTGCATTGTCATTGTCTGATTTATGTGAGCTTCAAAAACTAAGCTAGATAAATTGTGGAAAATCAGCCAAATTTAAAAATCAACTGCTATGCCATCATCTATACAGTTACCAGTGACAAAGAGCAAGTCTGTATGTCTAATATCCACATTTTGTAACCCATCAGCTTCCCCTTAAAAAAAAAGTTACCAAAGTTTATTCCACTCCAGATATCATTCACTGACTTTAAAAAAGTCTAGCTTCATTTGAAACCTCCTTTTGGAGGAATGCTGTTGAAGTGTTGCCCACTCATGATATTACTGAAAATTTAGTCACACATTAAAAAAACTCGTTCCTAGAATCATGTGATTACACAAAAATCTCATGTTAAAAAAAGTAAGATTCTAGCCCTGATGGATGCAGGGAAAGGCTTGAAAAGGCTCAAAAACCAGAAAGGCAAATAAAAAAGCATTGAGAATTGTTGTGAAATTTTCATGATTTTTTTTAAGTCAAATTTGTGATTTTTGGAGACCTGAATGGATGTGGGTAGTAGTATTACTATGTTCACTCACAATTCTTCTGTTGCTAATGCAAATAGATGGGGAAGATGGGCATTTTCCTTGACTCCATTAGATATACTTAGAAGACAAATCTCCTTTACCTTAGCCAGAAGTATTAAAGACTGAAAAATAAACACCGAGAAAAGGCAATCAAGCAATTCAGTCATTTTGATTCATAAGGAGAGCCAACCCATTCTGGTGTCTGTATATTGTTTAATGGCAGTTAACATTCTTTAATATCATTATATTATTCTGTTACAGTTTCCTCACACACTGGAAAACTCTATGCACAGTAATTGTATACTTGGAAAATCCTAAGTAAAGAAATGATCGCTATGTAAAGGCAAAAATAGCTCAAGAGAAATATGCTCAGAATTGCACAATGCTATTTATCTGAAGAGTCACTTGCTGCATTTGCCCTTTTTTGCTCAGAGAAAAGCAGAGCTTAGATCCAGGCGTGGTTCAATGCGAATTTCCAAATTATTCCAGTTTTACACCCAAAGCTTTTTTTTTTTTTTT